CATGCTCGTGTTGAGTCGAGATCACCTACTGTCGGTGGCTGTTCCAGGGAGTACTTGCGGTGAATGGGAAGATGACGACGATCCGCTACTCATTGTGTGCATACGGTTTGCGGAACCGTGCACGTGATGAATGTGAGTCAGACGACTGGCTAATTGCAGCAGCTCGGCAAGTGGGGCGACGACACAGGATGACTTCGTTCTTGGTGATGCTTTTTGATGTCTGCGTCTCGGTTTTCGGGGTGAAAACCCTAAGTCTAGCCTTCATTGGTTGTAGCTGACAATTATGACTCTCTAGTCGTTTCCTTGTTGAATGCATTGTCTGGTGATCGGACCTCTCCGGAATGAAAACCCATGTTCTGACTTTTGCGGTTAGACATGGCAACGACAGCGCTTGTGCATTGTTATCTTCTTGAAGGCGTCGCTTCGGAGAACCCTCCTTATATGTGGTATAGTGTCGTTAAAGGTGATGGTTTGTTCATGTTGCTGACATTTTTGTTGTTTGCAGAGACCAGGTGTATGTGATATCTTTTTGATATTAATATATTTTTTATTGAAAAAAGTAAGTTGATCATGCAATCACAAATCTTGGGAGTATATGCAATCATGTCTTAGTATGTTGATCATGCTGCGCAATCAGACTGATATTGTTCCACCTATTTTTTATAAATAAACAAAGTGATTAGATGACAGTTTAAAAAAAGCTGCTGGCCAACATAATGCAAATGTAGAGAAGAGAACAGCTCGCCTATCTTTTTTGAGAAGAAAAAGAAAGACGGAAATAAAAATAAAACAAAAATGTTTTTCTCAAAAGCTGCGTGAGAAGACCAACAAAACAGGCCGCCCACCACGCTCCCCGTTTCAGAATTTCAGACAGCTAAACAAACTCGGCCAGCCCAGCTTCCTCCTCCTCCTCCTCCTCCCCCTCGACTGCTGGTGACCGCCGTCTGCCTTCTCCGACGAATCTCCGCGCGAATTGGGCCTAGCTCACAGGGAGTCTCGAATCTCCCCTTTGACGCTGAGTCGAGGAAGAAGGTCGGCTCGGGTTCGCTTACTCGTTCGCTCGAGGACGAGATTCAGCGGCGGGACTGATTGATTGATTGGGCGCGAGCGAGAGCGGATGAAGGGGAAGGGCGGGGCGCTCGACAGGAGGTCGTCTGCGAGGTGGAGGCTGCTGCTGCTCTGCGCCTTCAGCTTCGGGCTCGGCATGCTCTTCACCAACCGGTGGGTCTCTCTCACTCTCTCCCTCCATGCCCTTCTATATGTCCGCAGGAGCCATTAGATCTCGCCGCGCGCTCCTCTCTTATTGGAGGGATTGCTGGGGCTAATGCCGGCGAGGTTCGGACGGCTGTCAAAAGCTTGCGCGATTTTTCTCTTGGTTTTTGACCGCTCGAGGTTGACCAAGTTTGTTTTGTCCAACCTCTAGCCAATGGCGTGCTGAGATTTGTTTTCTGGAGGGAAATTGGATTTTAATCTGTCTCTTTCTCTTTGTTCTCTCCTCTTGAGCTCATGTGGATCTGGGGTTGGTGGAAAGCTCGCATTTCTTATTTAGAACACCGGAGATCGCGTTCTGATGTGGACTGGTGCATGCTACGTTTTGGGAACTCATGTCTCATCATCGAACTAGTAGAAGATACCTCGCGGGTTGCCGCTGAATTTCTGGTTGATAAGTTCCAGATTATGTGAATAGTACTAAATAGATGCTTCTCAAACATTTAAACAAATCAAAACACTCCACTTAAGTACTTGTGGTGCCGTTAGGAAGAAAAGTGCAAATATCTGTGTCAAATTCATAAATCGCCTAAAGCAGGCGAATCTCAAGAAGCATGCCAACTTGTTTATCTACCTGTGGGTCAAAATGGTATAGCATATTAATTGCCAGCTTGTTCCTGTAGGCCCTCAACTAAGAAAGGAAAACATGTTGACAACATGAAGAGAGGAGCAACACCTGCAACTGCCGCCATATATAGGCAGTTCCCTAGAATTGAATCGGAAAGGGAACATAGTATGCAAGATAAAACAGATACAACAAAAGGTCAAATGGGTTGACGGTATTGGATCTTATCATAGAAGTTTAAAACATGAACATGAAAAGAAAATTGCCGCATATATTTGACCTGTTAATGGAAAAAGGGGCATCCCTGTGTGCGTGCTCCCGCTTGTGCAGGGTCCGGGGAAGGGTCCGACCACTTTGGGTCTGGAAGAAAGTGAAAAATACATTTAATTTGAGACCACATGAGCATGAGCAGGGAGGTAAATTGTTTCTTGCAACCTGATCATGTCGTATGTTGGATACTTCGATATTGAACAAACAACAAAGAAAAGCACCTAATAATGGACTATCTAATTAAGGGAAGGGCTGTTTCGTGACATGGACATGTAGATCAGATTAAATTTGAATTCTTCACATCGATACATATGGGGACCAAGAGAAACAAAAAAAAAGAATATATAAACATATAACTGCACATGTACAGATATGACAAATAGTACAATGGTTCATAGGAACAGACCTGAAAATAGAGAAGTTACTAACTTACTATAAAGAGGGCACCGGGCCACTAAGGATGGAGGATGAGGTGATAATCAGTAGCACTAAGAAAGACATAAAAAAGATCAATGATAAACATCTGGCAAGAAAATATGTATTGGTAATACATTTGATCTTGGAAGTTTGTCATTGTACAGGCACTTGGTGAGCATGCCACTAGGTCAGAATGATATTGCTGAAAGGCAAGGGAAATAACATCCATCTATTAGGAATAAATCAAATATACTTTTTTGCACAAAAGGATCAACCATAACTGGCAACAATACATCTGAACGTGAAGTGGTAACTGTCGAGGGCTGTTTCATCGATCCTAATAGCTGTCGAGGGCTGTTTCATCGATCCTAATAGCGGTCCAAGGGGGAGTACGTGGATTTTGTTGTCGAGGGGACGCCACGTCAGGAGACCAGGGGGTCTTTGGACACGGATCACACAAACATACAATATACCCAGGTTCTGGCCCCCAATGTGTGTAAAAGCTCTACTTCCTGCCTTTCTCTTTTCTTATATATATGGAGAGTACAAAAGATTACAATGTCGACAGAGGATCTTGATGAGACGGAGTGCCTTGTCGAGATGAGATGGTGGAGATTCGGACGATAAGCGCCGGAATCCTTTCTAGGTGGTCTAGACTACAATGGTGCAGAGAAGGTCCCCCTCTATGATGCTCCTGGTGGCCCTTACATAGCACAACTTGAAGGCCTCCATGTCGGTGCATAGGGCGTGTAGAGCTTGGAGTCTGGCCCTTACGTCGGTTTATGCACATGCAGGGTATTTTCTTCCTTATTTGTAGAGTTCTTCCTTACTCTGATATGTGACATGGCGGTATTCCTCCTCCTGAGGCAGTGGCAAATCTTCTGATGTCCCGAGGGTGTCTTGGGCCCTTGGGGGCCTGTCGTGGTAGGGAAGGGAGACAAGCCGACACGTGGTTTAACCTATCGTCTACCACAACTAATTAGAATTGCAAGTGAAATTGAGACAGCAAAATTAACTCCCCCAAGTCCGAGTGAAGATCCATGGCAATCAAATTCGTAGGCAAGATCCATGGAAATTTTCGGCTTTGTTGACCCCACCAGCGTCAGTTAATCAGAGATGCCCCATTTCTTGGTCTGACACCCGATTAATGGGCTTGTCAGACCGATTAATCCCCCTGGCCAGTTAACTCACTGAATTTGTCTAAAAAAAAGTTAACTTGCCCAATAGGGTGTATAATCGGTGTGCCTCCAAGCAGCGATTAACTGGTCAGTTAACTGATGAGTTGGCCGATTTTTAGAACAGTTCATAGATGTAGAGTAATTTAGCTGGGTAGTATAGCCCGCGAAACTGAAGGTAGAAATTGAAGTGATCAATATATAGCCTCCAGTGATATAATATATCTGAACCCAAAACAGCATGTGCAAGACTACGGCTACTTACGGGCTTGCATTGGCTTCAATCATTGTGAAGCGGATTGGTGTGATGCATACACATATCAGTACTGTTCTTCACTCCTAAGGTCGGATGCATATATAGCAGGAATGAATTTAGGATTTGGAACTTTGGCAGGAATGAATTTAGGATGGTAGGAGAAGAGGACGACACATGAATTGGTGAAGTTGAAGAGGAAATTAAAGAGTCGAAGCATCCATGCTGCGTTCTCGGGAGGCAAGGAGCCCAGGAAGGAGGAGCTAACGGGAGGCATGTGGAGCAAGGGGGGACCAACTCTTGGGCTGCAGACCTGAGCAACCTGTGGTCAATCAAACGGCTAAAAGAATTTATGGTGACGTGGACACGTGAGAGCGCAGGAAAATCAGCTAGTGGGGGGTTCCTATTTAGATATAGTAGATACAAGCTCGTCACTGCATTTTCTTTGTTCGAAGAATGTCTTGCTACTTGCAGCCAGCCCAATAATTAAACGCCCGTGTGAGATCTATACTGAAGAGCTTGCCTTTTTTAGAAGTGAATGTTCATTTAGGTCGCGTACTACTGAGCTAGTATACCAGTGCTTCTCTAGATGGAGTGACGAACCCTTTGTGTGGATTCCTACTCTCTCTCTCTCTCTCTCTCTCTCTCAGTGTGGATTTACTTTCTATTAGTAAAGCTTGGATTTGGAATAAGTACATATTTGTCCTTGCGCTGTCAAAGTTATTCTCCCTCCGTACCATAATATAAGACGTTTTTGGAGTTCAATTTTGAACTGCAAAAACGTCTTTGAACTGCAAAAACGTCTTATATTATGGGTACAGAGGTACTCCCTCTTTTTCGGACGGAGGGAGTAGTATTTTACATGCCAGAGAAGTTGTGTTGGACAGATTTTATCTTGACAGAAATTGTAGCTAAATATAAATTTATTGGGATTCAAGTTGAAGGTTGTTCAGTTGATCTTTGGAAAGGGCTGTAATTGAAACAAATAACAAAGAGTAAGGATAATTTTGGTTCCTAATCTCCAAGGGAATTCAAGTTATACATTTTGAAGATGAAATACTTGTTTGTTGTTGCTCTTTGGAATTTATTGATGAATCCTTGCCGGTGCTTTTACAGCTTCTGGACAGCACCAAATACCAATAACCACATCATGTCCCAACACAGGAGACAAGACCAGGAGTTGCAACTTGTGTCAGAGGATTGCAATACAAAGAGGGTGGGTTTCCAAATTCAGTAAATTTGCATGATTTATCAAGTTTTATACTGCTTTTTCCTTGAACTGTCTAATTTACAATTGGATTGCAGAAGCATGGGGAGCACAAGGATATAATGGGAGAGGTAACCAGGACCCATGAAGCCATACAGTGAGCTCATTTGACCCCATCCAGTGTTAAATCTAAGAGTTCAACTGTATTTTGGTTACTTGTATCTGATTTTTTTTGTTCTTCGGATTGTTTGTGGTAGATTGTTGGATAAGTCAATCTCAACGCTGCAGATGGAGCTTGCAGCAAAGCGAAGCACGTTGGAACTGGTCCGTTCTGGTGTGCCAGTAACTTCAGAAACTAGTCAATCAAGGAAAAAAGCATTCGTTGTCGTTGGAGTTAACACCGCTTTCAGTAGCCGCAAGCGTCGTGATTCAGTCAGGGACACATGGATGCCTCAAGGTTGGTAATACTTTGGTGTTAATTGCGATGAATAATAGCATGTTTGTGGTTACTGAATTTGGATGTTGATGATCGAGTTAGCGTATTGTTACACAATACAGGGTACCATAAAACCATTTGTTTGCAGTTAGAAGCAACATGTCTCTTTTTGTTAACTGTTTTATTTCTGCAGTCACCATCGTTTACACTATCATGCCGTGATTGAATACATTTATCAGACCATGTTTCCGCACATGCACCTGATTAAGCATATGGCACTGTGGAACAGCCCCTAGATCTGAGGGCGATCCAGTGGCCTGGAGGTGCTTGGGGGCCGACGGTTCGTCGGCGAGGCGGTGCCGTCGTGCAGTAGCAGAAGGCAGTGGGGATTAGAGATAGAGAACATGGATCAGGGAAACTAGACTTTATTGATTATATTCCTCCTCTAGCTTACACTAGTAGGTCCTTTATATAGGACACAGGCCAGTACTACTTTGGCATATCCTGGACTCTAATTGGAATCTGATTCAAACTAGATTACCTTAACAACCTGAAGACTACCAAAACAGAGGCATCCTCTGGACATCAAACTGCCATTGTCTAGCTACAGCCTAACCTGCCCCTGCTGCCTTCTGCGTAACATAAGGAACCCACATAACATCTCTCCCTTCATCAGCAAGCAGCTCGTCCTCGAGCTGATAATCTGGATATTGCATGATGAAGTCAGCACGGGGCTCCCAAGTGGCATCCATTTCCGAAGAACCTACCCATTGAACAAGCACATGCTTCACTCTGCGCATGCTTGAGCTTAGTACTTTGGCAGGCTCTAGAATGACGCGACCATCCTGAATCAACGACAATGGTGGCTGTCACATAAGGAGCAACACCGTGGAATTTCTTCAAAAGGCTCACATGGAAGACATCATGTAGACGAGAGCCTTCCGGGAGATCCAGCTTGTAGGCAATAGAACCAACATGCTCCAGAATCTTGTAAGGTCCATTAAAGCGCTGAGCTAACTTGCCACGTGTATGGCCTTGCAATGAAGCAGCTTGCCTGTGGTGAAGGTGCTGCCATGCCCACTCACCAAAATCAAAGGACGGATCCCAATGATGCTCATCGTAGTACTTCTTGCTGCGTTGTTGCCTTGTTGGGCCTGAAGCAGACGCTCACAAACCTCCTGAAGAAACTGATCATGTTCTTGCAAAAGCGGTCCCTACTGACTCAACTTTGGCTTCGCCCTTGTTGTAAGTTAGTAGAGCAGGAGGGTCATGGCCGTAGACCACCTTGAAGGGAGTGTCATGAAGCGAGGAATGATACAATGGACTATGGAAGCCCATGGAGCTGAACAATACCGTCAAAGAAAGCTCTGGCCATCGAGATAGCAGTGGACAGATGTGCCAATGGTATGAAGTGTGCATATTTAGAGAAGAGATCGACAACAGAAAGGATCACTGTCTTGCCATGGACACAAGGAAGGGCCTCAATAAAATCCATTTGAGATATCCAACCGGACCGTTGAGGGCACCATCAGAGGCTGAAGCAGACCAGCAGGGTAAAGAGTCTCGGTCTTGTTCCATTGACAAATCTTGCAGGAACGTACCAATTCTTGCACCAATGCACACTCACTTGGTATGTGGAATGTGTCAATCAAGCGATGAAGTGTCTTCTGAATCATGGGCTGCATCCTGCATGGGCCTGTTTTAGGAAAGATGTTACCAACGACGATGACGTAAGCACATAAACATGTTGGCGGTGCAAGATCAGATCATCAAAACACGGCCAAGGGGCACTGAGCTCACTGGACAGAATACGGGCACACAAGGATACTTTTTTTTCACCCGCAAAAAAAAGGCGAGGAGATGGAAGAATCAGTGGGAAGTGGGGGCGAAATGGGTGGCGGCGACTGGGTGGGTGTGATTGGAGCCTCGTTCGCATAGTTCCGCCCTGAAGCTAAGGATCCCCTGGTGACAATGTGGCAAGTGGAGAGCGCCAAGATTTGTGCGTAGTATCAGACGGCTACGAAGACGACGCTCGAACTTGGTAAAAATGTGACATTTGATTTTTATCATTTAAGGATATAATTCCCATGTATCTTTTTTAGGCCAATGATTCGTCACATAGGTCTAAGCCGGGCCAGCAAGCTCTAAATTGATGGTTTTTTCTTGTAGCAAAAGTTATTCAAGTAAATGTGCATACTGTATATACTTTTCCTTTTCTTCTTTGTTATGTCAACCATAACCTTTATAACATTGTTATTGAATTCCAAATGTTGTCATAGTCCACTATTTTGTTTTTACTAAAGTTCTCTTCTGCATTATTACATTTGTTATTGAATAATAACTTTTGTAACCACCTTGATATTTATTACATTGTTATTGAATTCCAAATGTTGTCATAGTCCACTATTTTGTTTTTACTAAAGTTCTCTTCTTCATTTAGGTGAGAAGCTGCTGCAGCTTGAAGAACAGAAGGGAATAGTTATCCGCTTCACTATAGGCCATAGGTAAACAAGTGGTTCTTCTTGCCCCCAGGTCATTTTTACTGTTTAATCTCTGGTGTTGCAAAATTCTCTCCCTAGAGCCTGCAATCATATAATTTGGATGATTCTTTCTCGTCTGTTTTAGAAAGTATTCCCGCAGGCATCTATGACAAAAAACAACAACAACAACAACAAAGCATTTCAGTCCAAAACAAGTTGGGATAGGCTAGAGTTGAAACCCATAAGATATCGAAACCAAATCATGGTTCCGTGGACTATGCACCCCTGTCCATGGCTAAATCATTGGTGATATTCCACTCCTTCAGATCTCACTTTACAGACTACTCTCATGTCAAGTTTGGTCTACCCCGACCTCTCTTGACATTATCAACATGCGTTAGCCGTCCGCTATGCACCGGCGCTTCTGGAGGCCTGCGTTGTATATGCCCAAACCATCCCAAACAATGTTGGACAAGCTTCTCTTCAATTGGCCACCCCAACTCCATCATGTATATCATCATTCCAGATCCGATTCTTTCTTGAGTCGCCACATATCCATCTCAACATGTGCATCTCTGCTACACCTAGCTGTTGGACATGTCGCCTTTTAGTTGGCCAACATTCAGCGGCATACAACATTGTAGGTTGATTTGCTGTTTTATAGAACCTGCCTTCTAGCTTTTGTGGCACTCTCTTATCACATAGAACACCAGAAGCTTGGCGCCACTTCATCCATCCAGTTTTGGTTCGATGGCTGACATCTTCATCCTTTTGCAACAACAATAACAAAGCCTTTAGTCCCAAACAAGTTGGGGTAGGCTAGAGGTGAAACCCATAAGATCTCGCGACCAACTCATGGCTCTGGCACATGGATAGCAAGCTTCCATGCACCCCTGTCAATAGCTAGTTCTTTGGTGATACTCCAATCCTCCAGGTCTCCCTTAACGGACTCCTCCCATGTCAAATTCGGTCTACCCCAACCTCTCTTGACATTCTTCGCACGCTTTAGCCGTCCGCTATGCACTGGAGCTTCTGGAGGCCTGTGCCGAATATGCCCAAACCATCTTGGACGATGTTGGACAAGCTTCTCTTCAATTGGTGCTACCCCAACTCTATCTCGTATATCATCATTCTGGACTCTATCCTTCCTCGTGTGGGCACACATCCATCTCAACATACGCATCTCCGCCACACCTAACTGTTGAACATGTCGCCTTTTAGTCGGCAAACACTCAGCGCCATACAACATTGTGGGTCGAACAGCCGTCCTGTAGAACTTGCCTTTTAGCTTTTATGGCACTCTTGTCACAGAGAATGCCAGAAGCTTGGCGCCACTTCATCCATCCAGCTTTGATTCGATGGTTCACATCTTCATCAATACCCCCATCCTTTTGCAACATTGACCCAAAATATTGAAAGGTGTCCTTCTGAGGTACCGCTTGCCCACCAAGGCTAACTTCCTCCTCGTGCCTAGTAGTATTGACACCACACCTTATGTACTCAGTTTTAGTTCTACTAAGCCTAAAACCTTCCGATTCTAATGTTTGTCTCCACAGCTCTAACTTTCTATTAACCCCCGTCCCACTATTGTTGACTAGCAGCACATCATCCGCAAAGAGCATACACCATGGGATATCTCCTTGTATAAAACTGACGCCTGGTGTAGTCCTATTTTAATTGGAAAGTCATTAGTGCTGCCATCACTTGTTCGAACACTTGTCACAACATTATCGTACATGTCCTTGATGAGGGTAATGTACTTTGTTGGGACTTTGTGTTTCTCCAAGCCCACCACATGACATTCCGCGGCATCCTATTGTAGGCCTTCCCAAAGTCAATGAACACCATATGCAGGTCCTTGTTTTACTCCTTGTATCTCTCCATAAGTTGTCGTACCAAGAAAATGGTTTCCATGGTCGACCTCCCATGCATGAAACCAAACTGATTTTTGGTCACGCTTGTCATTCTTCTTAAGCGGTGCTCAATGACTCTCTCCCATAGCTTCATTGTATGGCTCATCAGCTTAATTCCATGGTGATTAGTACAACTTTGAACACCCCCCTTGTTCTTGAAGATTGGTACTACTATACCCCGCCTTCATTTTCTCTTTCTAAAGAGGGTGTTAGCTACTATCCGTAGGCTAAGGTGAAGCTTAAAATATCCTCTCTTTTTTGATTCCTTCTGCCATATCCAAAGCCCCCATGCATCCCTTTATAACCTGTGTTAGATGTACCCACGTGGCCATTGAGGTCTCCTCCTACGAAGAGCTTCTTGCCAATAGGTACACTCCTAACCATATCCCCCAAGCCTTCCTAGATTCCCTCATGGTGCTCTCACTGTGGCCTACTTTCGGGGCATAAGCCCTGATAACAATGCGAACTAAGTTCCCCCCAAACCTTCCCAGAACTCACTCTTGGTGCTCTCACTGTGGCCTACTTGCAGGGCATAAGCCCTGATAACAGTGCGAACTAAGTTCCCAACGACCAGCTTGACCAAGATAATCCGGTCCCCTTGCCCCTTGATGGCTACCACTCCATACTTGAGGCTCTTGTTGATCAAGGTGCCTACTCCGTTTCTGTTTGTACTTGTCCCTGTGTACCACAACTTGAAGCCGGTATCCTCTACCTCCTTCGCGTTGTGTCCCTTCCATTTGGTTTCTTCGACACATAGGATGTCAACATCCCTCCTCACCGCCGCATCCACTAATTCCCGTAACTTACACTCCCTACATTCCAGCTATCTATGCGGATCCTACTAGGCTCGGCTAGCTGTCTTGCTCTTCGCACTTGTCGAGCCAAATGCGAAGACCCTTGCTCATTTTTTCACTACACCCGGTGTCGATATAGCGTGCCACTAAGGATGCGACGACGCGATCCTTGCTCACTTATCACTGTATCAGATCAAGATACGACGCACCACCAAGGGGGTGACGGCCCGGGCCTTGCCGTTTAACATTACACCCGGGTTCCGATATGGCGTCTCGCTAAGAGGGTTATGCCCCAACGGTGTTCTTCTAGGTTTCATCTTCGTAAGAGTGGCTGCGTTTTGACGTTGGCTTGCCAAGCCTATCACAATCCTCCTCCTTTACCCAGGCTTGGGACCGGCTACATTGAGACAACATAGGTGGAGTTGCGGGCATCCATGAATAAGCTATAATAATTTTCACCAAATTTGGGGTAAGACATGCACAAGTCTCTTGCTAAGTTGCTAGTTGTCAATTTGCCATCAGAACACCTCAACTCTCTTGGTTGCAATGGATGATTCAGTGACACAACTCTGATTTAATCCATCTTCCTTCTCTTTTATATCTAAATAGCTAGCTCCCACTAACTATTTCTCTCAACATGCAAGCATGCCACATCATCGCACAACATGCATGAGAAAAGGCCCACCTCCACTACCATATGTCTCTCAACATGCAAGCATGCCACTTCATCATGAAACATGCATGAAAAAAAGACTCATCTCAACATGCAAACATACATGAGAATTTTCATTCTATTATGTTATTTATATTTAATACACATTTTACAACTATATATGTTAGAGTACGTAATGGGCCTAATGGCCTGGCTGGTGGTATAGCCCGTTAGTCTTAGGGTTAATTAGAGATAAGGGTCGCTTGCTTAGGGGTCAAGTAAGCCTTGCTTGGGAGTCAAGTAAGCCTTGCTTGGGAGTCAAGTAAACCTCTCTATATAAAGAGAGGAGATGTATCAATCTAATGAAGCAAGAATTAAGAAGGAAATCCCTTCCATCTTGCCTGGCCGTGGGCAAAAGGCCCTCGGCCGGCCCTTTCGCGCCGTCCTTCTAGCAGCGCCATAACAATATAGTACTCAAACATAATAAATTATATGTATTTTCAGTTCTGGCCTTTCATATTATTACTTCAAATATTCATGTTTCATACAACGAATCACATTTAAATATGTTGCAATATTTCTGCAACAACATGCGGGGTATCATCTACTCCCTCCGTTCCGAATTACTTGTCTTAGATTTGTCTAGATACAGAGGTATCTAGCACAAAAATGAGTCTAGATACATCCGTATCTAGACAAATCCAAGACAAGTAATTCGGAACGGAGGGAGTAGTTCTATAGAACAGAGGTTTAATATTAGGGTTGTTCTATGTTGCTATTCCTGTCCGCTTGAAAATCTGGTACTAGTTCCTTGCAAAATGTGAACGGTTTTGGTGATTGTGCAGTGCTACATCCAATAGTATATTGGACAAAGCAATAGATGCAGAAGATGCACAGCATCATGACTTTCTTAGACTGGTAAGGCTGTATCATATCATTCAGTGATGTTATGACACCGATCAAAACATACTTCTATTAGAAATTTTTAGTAGCACTGATCATGTTACCTGTTGGTTTTGTTCATTTATCATTCAGGACCATGTCGAGGGGTATCATGAACTCTCCGCAAAGACAAAAATCTTCTTCTCCACGGCCGTGGGCATTTGGGATGCTGACTTCTTCGTCAAGGTCGATGATGATGTGCATGTGAACTTAGGTGCATTTTATTTCTTTGATGTTATTGCCTTCTTTCAGAAAAAAAACCCCACTTCTGTTTATCACATTACTGGTACGCTGCACATGGAAAACAGGAATGCTTGCCACTACCCTTGCGAGGCATAAAGCGAAACCAAGAACTTATATTGGCTGCATGAAGTCAGGCCCAGTTCTTGCTGACAAGTAATGTTAACTAGACTGTCTTGCAATTAAATTCTAGCTTTGGGGTACAAACTACGCTTGAACCTGCTCTTGTCATGTAGGAATCTGAAGTACCATGAACCCGAGGCCTGGAAATTTGGGGAGGACGGAAACAAGTATTTTCGCCATGCTACTGGACAGATATATGCCATCTCAAAAGATCTTGCGACCTATATCTCAATAAATCAGTATGTTCCATTGATGGTCATGTCATAAAATGGTCCTCCAGATAAAAATTAAAGTCAATCTGATGATGCCTTTTGATTTTGTCAGACCTATCTTACACAAGTATGCGAACGAAGATGTATCACTTGGGTCATGGTTTATTGGGTTAGAGGTTAATCATATTGATGAAAGGAACATGTGCTGTGGAACTCCACCAGGTCTGCCTCTCACCATAAAAAACACTTACCGTATACTTCTCTAACCTCTTATAATTGTGCATTGATATCTCTGCAGATTGTGAGTGGAAAGGGCAAGCTGGCAATATCTGCGTGGCATCCTTTGATTGGAGCTGCAGCGGCATATGCAAGTCCGTCGAGAGGCTCAAGGATGTACATGCTCGATGCGGCGAAGGCGATTCTTCTGTTTGGAGTGATCTAATCTAGCTAATACCCTCCCTGGCGTAAATATGTAGCATCCTCAGTAAAACCCTGACGATCGTGCCTCAGTGGCTACAACTGAAATGACCGAGATTGCACAACAGGTCCGCAGATGGACTATATTTCTGGTGGTTCGGCCTGAGGCAACAGATGTAGTGTAGATGATACTTGTTCAGTCGTTGAGAGATCTCAGTAGATGGGAATTGCTTTGTGGCATCACCGGTGACTTCAGTAGTGTTAGAAGAGAGACCAACGCGATTGTGTAGCTGCTGTGTACCACAGATTAGGGGAAAACATCTGCTGCAAATTTTGATCAATTCTTTTGATGTCCGTTCTTTTTGTTATCCTTTGCAGGAACACCTGAAAGTAGGATTTCAATTTTGTCTTGAAAATTCAATGCAACATACCATAAAAAAGTCCATGAAAGTTGACATCACTCTCATGTGATCTTGTACACCAGCGCCAGGGTTTTGTCCTAATTTGCTCGTTCACCCACCCCCTGTTAGGAATATGCAACATGTATTCCTATGAGGCCATAGGCCGATATATATACATGTACAGGTGTGGAACATATGCAGGAAACCCCTTATACAACGGGATAAATACAAAGGGGTACATGACTTATATTATAACTCTAACATTCCCTCAAACTCATGGTGGATGAACAACACTGAATTTGGAGAGATAAAAACCATCTTGTGCTCTAGTCTGGGCCTTCGTCAGGAAATCCGCCAACTGTAACTCGGAAGGCACATACTGAAGAGTAATAACCTGATCTTGCATACCAGCGCGCACATAGAAAGCATCAACACCAATATGCTTGGTGAGCTCATGCTTCACAGGATCGCGCGCAATGCTGATAGCACCTGTACTGTTAGATAAGAGCAGAGTCGGTGTAGTGACAGAAACACCAAAATCCTGAAGTAACCACCGTAACCAAGTCACCTCTGCCGTCAAAACAGCCATTGCTCGCAACTCAGCCTCGGCACTCGAACGAGAAACTGCAAGCTGTTTCTTCGTCTTCCAGGCAATGAGAGAACCACCAAGAAAAACACAGTAAGCAGAAAGTGAACGACGATCTGAAGGATCACTAGCCCACGTAGCGTCCGAATAGGCCTGAAGCTGTAAAGAACTGGAGCGAGGAAAGAATAGACGGTGAGAGATCGTGCCCGAAGATATCGGAGAACACGAAGGAGATGACTATAGTGAACCGAGGTGGGAGCAGAGACAAACTGACTCAGAATATGAACCGGATAAGAGATGTTCGGACGAGTGACAGCTTGACAAGACTGCCAACAAGATGACGATAACGCGTCGGGTCAGGGAGAGGATCACCATCAGTAGCACGGAGGTGAACATTGAGCTCCATAGGAGTCTCAACAACGCGCTCGTCAGTAAGAGCAGCACGAGCAAGAAGATCCTGGATATACTTTTCCCGGGATATAAAAAAGCCATCAGAGGTAGAAGAGACTTCAATCTCAAGAAAGTAGCGAAGAGGTCCAAGATCAGACATAAGAAACTGCTCACGAAGACGGGCCTTTACAAAGGCAATATACTCGGGGTCATCCCCCGTGATGATCATGTCATCAACATAGAGAAGAAGAAGAGTCCGACCACGAGGAGAAAGGTGAATAAACAATGCTGGATCATGAGCACTTGCTGAAAAACCAACAACAGTGATCATAGAGGCAAAGCGCTCAAACCAGGCGCGGGGGGCTTGCTTAAGGCCATAGAGAGAGCGACGAAGACGACATACCATGCCATCAGGTACAGAATACCCAGGTGGTGGCTGCATGTACACCTCCTCACGCAGCTCACCATTAAGAAAGGCATTCTTAACATCAAGCTGAGATATAGACCAGTGGCGTGTAGAGGCAACGGCAAGAAGTGTACGAACAGTGGTCATATGGGCCACAGGAGCAAAAGTCTCGTCATAATCACGACCGTGCTCCTGCTGAAAACCACGAGCCACAAGACGAGCTTTGTGACGCTCAAGAGAACCATCGGAGCGAGTCTTAACCTTGTAGACCCATTTACAAGTGATCGGACAGACTCCGGGAGGAAGAGAAACAAGATCCCAGGTACCAATGCGTTCAAGAGCAGCAATCTCCTCTGCCATCGCAAACTGCCATTCAGGATGAACAACAGCCTGACGGTAAGAAGTCGGCTCAAGAACAACAGCACCAGCGGTGGGAAATCCAAAGCGATCAACAGGCGGACGAGGACGAGAACGCAAGCCATAAGTAGGCTGAGAGGAAGATGACGACTCATCCACAGAGGCATCGATGGTCGTGGACGACGAGTGTAATGCTGAGGAAAAGATGGAATAATAGAAGGAGGAATCGTTAAGGTAGAATCGGGGGGTGGCGACGAAGAAGTCACCGGAGATGAAGGTGTAGAATCCGGTGACATGCTGGGAGAGGAGACCGGGGAGGAAGTCACCGGAGATGAAGGTGGAGAACCCGGTGACATGCTAGGCGAGGAGACCGGGGAGGATGGTGGCTGCAAATCAACTAGAGGTGGAGAAGGAGAGGAAGTGGAACGGAGAGGTACAGGCTCGACGGGGGTGATAGGTGAGTCAGGAAAAGTGAGGAAAGAGATATCATGCACTGAAAAAGTCGAGGAAGATGGGCGTGGGTAGAAGGGACGAGACTCATCAAAAGTCACGTCTCGAGAGATACGCATCCGACGACCGATAGGATCCCAACAACGATAGCCCTTATGCTCATCACTGTAGCCTAAGAAGACACACTCAACAGACTGAGCGGTCAGTTTGGTGCATTCGCGAGGGGCAAGAAGAACATAGCAAACACAACCAAACGAGCGAAGCATCGAATAATCCGGAGAACGATCAAAAAGTCGCTCGAAAGGAACACCACCTTGTAGAGCAGCGGAAGGATGTATATTGATAAGATAGGTGGATGTGGAGACGGCCTCAGCCCAAAAATGAGGCGGGAGAGAGGCAGCAATCATCAATGCACGAGTCGTCTCAAGAAGATGCCGATGCTTTCGCTCAACCACACCATTCTGAGCATGAGCACCAGGACAAGAGAATTGAGAGAGAGTCCCTTGCTCAGCAAGAACACCACGCAACATCTTAGAGATATACTCGCCAGCGGAGTCAGCACAAAAAACACGAATGGGTGAAGAGAACTGAGTATGAACCATGGCAGCAAAATGCTTATAAATAGACAACACCTCAGAACGAGAAGTCATGAAATAAAGCCATGTGTAACGAGAGAAATCATCTATGAAAATAATATAGTATTTATGACCACCTTTCGAAGCGAAAGGGGCCGGACCCCATACATCAGAATGGACTAAATCAAAAGGACGCTTGGACACTGACTCACTATGTGAATATGGTAACTGAATCTGCTTGCCAAGACGACAACCCTGACACTCTAAAGAGACATCTCCTAAGACAGACCCAGAAGACCTTGACGAACTAAAGAAGACAACCGAGAACCACACAGATGACCAAGTCGATGATGCCACTGCTGGAAGGAACCAGTAACGGAGGCGACAGAAGCGGAAGAACTGGCGATGGTGGTGGCAGCGGAAGGAATATGAAGCCAGTCCAACTCCCAAAGACCCTGAGAATCACGGCGGCGAGGGCCAGCCCCAACCAAAGTGTGCGTGCGACGGTCCTGGACAGAACAAGAGTCAACGTCAAGGATGACACGACAACCAGAATCAATAAGTTGACCAGTAGAAAACCGATTCATGGTAAGTCGAGAAACATGAGCAACATCAGGAACAGGATAAGAAGGAGTGGTAAGATTGCCTCTACTAGCAACAGAAAGTGGATTACCATCAGCAGTGAAGACATGAACAGGAGAATCCAGTGATCAAAGAGAGGACAAAGTGGAAGAATGAGAAGACATATGAAAAGAAGCTCCAGAGTCCAGAACCCATGGGGATGTACCTGACTGTGTAGAGGGTGATTGCTCAGTGCGGGAAGCATCAGTCACAGAACCAGCAGTACCCGTCGAGGAAGAACCTGAAGCCGTGAGCAGAAGCTTAAGTCTCAGAATATCCTGGTCAGTCAAAGCAATGCCTGAAGCTGTCGAGGTAGATGACGAAGTCCCTGAAGATGACGATCGCGCCTTGCGCAGGTGTTTCTTCTTCGTGTAGCACTGAGACTCAAGATGACCATCATTGTTGCAATAGTCGCAATGTGGACGGGGGCGACCTGAGCCTCCAGAAGGAGTGGGCAAGAGCGGCGGAGCACTCGAGCGAGAAGGGGTCGGTGCAGCAGGTGGCGTAGGAGCACGAGTAGCGAGCACAGAGGGAACCTCCAGCAAACCAGCACCACGTAAGCGAGTCTCCTCAGCACGAATCTCAGAAAGCGCCTCCATGAGAGAAATACGGCCACGATCAAACAATTGAGCACGCCGGGGCTCAAACTCCTTACGGAGCCGAGACAGGAACTCATAGACGCGATGAAACTCCAAATTGGCCTGGACAGCCTGACAACAGGGGCAAGTATGACAACCAGCACTGCGGAGAGAATCAAGCTGGCGCCAGATAGCAGAACTCTGTGCATAGAAGTCATCAACAGTAGAGTCACCCTGCTGAAGAGCATGCTCCTGACGGACCACAGAAAGGTATAAGGCATGACCAGAGGGCTGATAGCGCTGACGAAGACGGGTCCACATCTCAAAGACAGTAGGAAGACCCAGAAACTCAGAAGCAAACTGAGGCAGAACACTAGCAGTGAGAACAGCTGCAGCACGAGCATCATCATCAAGCCACTAGGTGTAAACAGACAGAGCACCATGATACGTCTGAAGAGCCTCCTCATAAGCCAAAACCCTCTCATCATAAGCACGATCAGCAGCCTCATCAGCAAGCTTAGCCGCATCCTTGGCGGCCTGATTAGCATCCGGAGGAAGAACCGGTGGAGTCGGCGGAATAGGAGCCACCGGAGGAACTGGACGTGGCGGACAGCAGACCTCGCCAGAAAGAACACCCCAGAGACGGATGCCACGCATGTGAATGCG